TTGCTGTCCCCAGCCATCGAGTTGTCTCTCCTAGATGGGTTGCTGTCCCCAGCTATCGAGTTTTCTCTCCTAGATGGGTTGCTGTCCCCAGCCATCGAGCCCCATCTACCCGGGGGTCCGAGCCAGCGAAAGCCGTTGAGTAGCTAGTTTTATTTTCTTGATTTTCTTTAAAACCATTTCTAAGAAGAAAGTTTAACAGACATCTATTTCACTGGTTTAACCCTCTTATTTCTACATCGTGGCCTCGTGGACAGAGGGTTAATATATATTATAGAGTGAGCCTTAATGACTAAACGGTAAAGCTATTATTCCAGCGCTTGCTTTAAACGAGAGAGGGTTAACACTCAGCTTACAGTGTGACTTGTTGAAAACAAAGAGTTAACTTTCTGCTGTATCGCGAAACATAATGGACCTAACACCTATCGGTAGTCACATGATTTTAGTGCGTGCTTTAGTGGAGAAAGGATTAACACCATATTCCCATAGACACGTTCGGTCAATAAAAAAAAAACTTTGGTAAACACAAAACAAAGCTTCAATCTCCGATACACGCAAGTTGTCCATTGTTTTCGACCCAGAGTGGAATTGGTGACAACCCCACATACTACCAATGAGAGGAATTAATATATCCCCCTCACACACTCTCACACCATCCCCCCACACACACATCTCTAGAGAGAAGTTCCATCATCGTTCATTCACACACACCCTCAACCTATCCCCCTCACACACACCCCACACACACACCTCTAGAGAGTAGATCCATCAATGTCCATTCACTCACCACCCCACCCCCCCCCCCACACACACACCCACACCCCCCCCACACACACACCTCTAGAGAGTAGATCCATCAGGGTCAATTCACTCACAACCTCAAACCACCCCCACTCACCACACACACACCCCACCCCCACACCCCCACCCCCCCACACACACACCTCTAGAGAGTAGATCCATCAATGTTCATTCACTCACCACCCCCACACCCCCACACCCCCACACCTCTAGAGAGTAGATCCATCAATGTTCATTCACTCACCACCCCCACACCCCCACACCTCTAGAGAGTAGATCCATCAATGTCCATTCACTCACCACCCCCACACCCCCACACCCCCAACACCCCCACACACACCTCTAGAGAGTAGATCCATCAATGTCCATTCACTCACCACCCCCACACCCCCACACCCCCAACACCCCCACACACCTCTAGAGAGTAGATCCATCAATGTCCATTCACAAATCAGCAGATTCTAAAACATGGTCTAAAAATAGAAACTTATTAAATTCCCGCGGCCGTAAATCTTTACATGAGCTATAAATACTTCACAGCAGTTTAGATGAGGGGCGTGGTCTGGTGGGGGGGGGGGGCGAGGGACGGTGGTGTACACCCTTGGGGCCCTGAGCCATTTTTAGCTCACTGAAGATCAATGACGTTAGGGTATGGTCTACCCACTAGCCCCCCCCCCCCCCCCCCTCCAGCACACCTGGCCTGTTTTATGTCTGTACGATTCAATAAACACATTCTTTTCTTCAACTCACCTGAAAAATTCTGATTGATTTACCATCAAGTCTTCTTTAACTGAAAACATTAAAGTCAGCATCGGGCGAGGGGGTGGGGTGGGGTGTCATTGGGCGTGGTCAGGGGTGGGGTGTCATTGGGCGAGGTTAGGGGTGGGGTGTCACTGCGCAAGATTAGGGGTGGGGTTCACTGAGCAAAGCTAGTGGGCGGGGTGTCACTGAAACCACAGGTACTAACGGGCTTTGTGAGTTAGCTTGACGCTCACATCCGGTCCTTATAGCAGACTATTCACGGCGGCCGCTGAGCAGACATTAGTCGTGACGTCACGTGACTGATGGTAGACCCTAGCGCCCATAAATTTAAACGTTTCACTGCAATTAATTTCAGCTCGGTTAATTAACTAGTAATTAAAATATAATTTTTCACCAAGCATCTCAATTCCCGTCTTGTCTAGTTAATTTCAAATCCGTCAGGCTGTATTCATACAATAGACGCGGTTTAAAACGAAATGATAGTAGGCCAATTGCTAAACGAGGACGGCATTAACTTAAGCGTCTAGTGACTCAGATCATTCTTTGAAAAACATGCCTGATTGTATAGAAAGGTGTATGCTCAACACCTGTATGTTTACACACCTGCATATGTTCACACATGTTCACACACCTGTATATCTACATACCTGTATATGTAGAAACCTATATCTGTACACACCTGTATGTTCACACACCTGTATATGTACACACATGCATTTTCATACACCTGTACGGCTATTACCGTGGTCGCTAAAAAAAAGACGTCTAGTGCCGTAGAAGTTTAAAGACCGGACGTCTAGTACGAGGACGTTCAAAGACCGGACAGCTTAGACCGAAGGCTTATTTTTTTTATCAGAAGCACTAAATGTTTTAATTTTAACTAACCGCAATCAAGGAGTGTGAAATAGTTCCACGACTCACCATTAATTACACTACAGCACCACACTATTTCTAGTTTTACTACAGCATTTCACGATTACTTTTCTAACCATGACAATGTTAACTTACGGTGATCGTATATATAGTGATCAATATCATATCCCAATCTACATACAATATCATGTCATTCTCCATACAACACCATTTGACATCTCATACCCCAATTTTCATACAGCATAATACTTTATTCTGCAAACAATATCATTATGCCAATGTTAATAAATTAGCAGCAAGGGACATGCATCATTAGAAACTTTAAGCTCAAATTAAAAGAACAGATATTTTACATGTACATACTACTACCAGTCATACATTAAGATTATGTTATCAAGAAAAAAAATTTACCGACATTAAGGTCTAATACAACACCAAAAAGTTAATTAAAAAATGTTAACACTTTGTTTTTTTTTTATTATTCAATTAATAATTGAATTATATTACACCCATACAAAAAAAAATAAGTTCGAAGTGTCTACTTGTCCTAAGTATGCTCGGCAAGAAAATTATAGATTAACCAGAATTCCATCAGTGTTTGTTCTCACGATGAAAAAACATGTTTGGTTTTCTTAGCTGTGATGGATTCGATCCTGGGGTTGTAAAGATGCGAGCGTTTGATTTAGAAGGTGTCAGTTGATCGAATATCGATTAGCTGACTAGACCAGCTGGGTCTAAATTAATGTTCCTATCCCGCGTTCGCTTATTCCACATCCGTGAGCTATGCTGGGTCAGTGTTCTGTGGAACATGAGCTTACCTTAGCTCATAGTCTGGGATACAGGCGGAGCTTATCTCAAATAAAAACCATTTCTGAGCTCTTAAATTTAACTCTTAGGTCAGTTTGTTGGTAGCCTAGAGAGGATTGGGAGGGGGGGGGGGGGGGTGGGGGTCCAGCACACGACGGCTTGTTTTTTATCAGAGGCGCTACAGGTCCTAATTTAATTAACAGAGGCACTACGTGTCCCAATAGGGGTCGGTGTGGTCGGTGTGGTCGAGTCGGTAAAGCTCATGCCTGCTAAACCGAATAGTCTCGAGTTCGAACCCTCGGGGTCGTTAGCTGGGGACAGCCACTCTTCTAGGAGAGACAACTCCAAAATCAAACAATTATTTAAATGTAGTAGTTTGTTCTTGGTTGGACTAAGGCTATGAAAGCAAATAAAAAAAAAAAACAGCAGACGGAAACCGGAGTCAATGGCCTCAATGGCGCTTAAACAGTTGACACGTATTCTTCAATTAAGTGGAGGAGATCCCTTCCAACACTAAATTTAAGAACGAAGAAGAAGAAAGTCTAATTTAACTAACAGAGGCACTACATTTCCTAATTTAACTAACAACAATCAACGAATGTGGAATGAATGTTTTTATTGTTCGAACAATATCCTTTTAAATTCATTTCATCTACTTGCTACTAAATTATTGTGAAGAAGTTCCGACTTTTGTGAACTATTTTTCCCATTTAATTGTAGTGAACAAGTTTCTGTTTAGTTCATGTGAACAAGGTTCTGATATATTTAAGAGAATAACTTTCTCCAAAATTCCTTGTCGGGTGAAAGTGTTGACCAACAACAGGTTCCTGAACTTAAAAGCCAAGTCGTGTTAAGAAAACGATCCTAAGGGGCTTAACACCAACATAATGGAAGGATCAGTCGTGAAGCTCCACCCCAATCACTTAACAGGCCAATGAACAACCACGAATCATTTGAAAAGGCCATTGAAAAGCCAGTATTAATAACTTGACAAGCGGTATAGTGATAGCGTCATAACAGTGTGTGTGGGCAGGGGGGGGGGGGGTTATAACGTCATAACAGTGTGTGTGGGGCGGGGTGGGGGATAGCGTCATAACAGTGTGTGTGGGGCGGGGTGGGGGGTATAGCGTCATAACAGTGTGTGTGGGGCGGGGTGGGGGATAGCGTCATAACAGTGTGTGTGGGGCGGGGTGGGGGTATAGCGTCATAACAGTGTGTGTGGGGCGGGGTGGGGGATAGCGTCATAACAGTGTGTGTGGGGCGGGGTGGGGGTATAGCGTCATAACAGTGTGTGTGGGGCGGGGGGGGGGGTACTTCCTCAACGTCCCTCTCAGTCATACACATCCATATACACATACGCACACACACACACGCACACACTTACATACACACAAACGCACTTTCTAAATGACAATTCACTCATCATCAGACACATTTTGTACCCCGCCCCCTCTCTTTCCTTTTCTCTCTCCTACGCTATAACTCTCTGGCTAATCAATTTACTCCCTCTCTTTCTCTCTCTCTTTCAGTCTCTAAATACTAATTCACTCACGATCTCACTCAACAATCAAATCACTCACTCGTTATCTTCACGTTACTCACGTACAGCCCCCTCCCCCACCCCCCCCCCCCCCCCCCACCCCACCCACCAAGGCCACTTTAAGCCGAGTGCCGGCCGTGACAGTCTGACACTGAGTGCCGGCCTGGCCGGACCACACCGGCTAATGTGGACGCAGCAGTCGACCAGCTGGAGCCGGACCATGGTAATTGGTAATTACTCGCCGAGACCGGTGTCGAGTGCTCTAATGTAATCAAGGTATCGATTCCAGACGCCCCGGCTTACTCTAGCATTTTACACACTTTTAGCTCCGCGTAGCTCGGAGCTTGAGCTAACGTCCTATAGAATAGAGCCATTACTTACGGATTAAGCTGGTTGTCCAGTCAACACATTTAAACAAGCAAGTCAAGTCTCCAAATTGACATCAAATCACTTGAACATTTTGGCGGAAAACTGGTTAGTGGTCACTGAACAAAGTTGAGTCTTTACGTAGGTCACTTAACAAAGTTTACTGTTAATGTTGGTTATTGAACAAAAGTTTACTGTTAATGTTGGTTATTGAACAAAGTTTACTGTTAATGTTGGTTATTGAACAAAAGTTTACTGTTAATGTTGGTTATTGAACAAAAGTTTACTGTTAATGTTGGTTATTAAACAAAAGTTTACTGTTAATGTTGGTTATTGAACAAAAGTTTACTGTTAACGTTGGTTATTGAACAAAAGTTTACTGTTAATGTTGGTTATTGAACAAAAGTTTACTGTTAATGTTGGTTATTGAACAAAGTTTACTGTTAATGTTGGTTATTGAACAAAAGTTTACTGTTAATGTTGGTTATTGAACAAAAGTTTACTGTTAATGTTGGTTATTAAACAAAAGTTTACTGTTAATGTTGGTTATTGAACAAAAGTTTACTGTTAATGTTGGTTATTAAACAAAAGTTTACTGTTAATGTTGGTTATTGAACAAAAGTTTACTGTTAATGTTGGTTATTGAACAAAAGTTTACTGTTAATGTTGGTTATTAAACAAAAGTTTACTGTTAATGTTGGTTATTGAACAAAAGTTTACTGTTAATGTTGGTTATTGAACAAAAGTTTACTGTTAATGTTGGTTATTGAACAAAAGTTTACTGTTAATGTTGGTTATTGAACAAAAGTTTACTGTTAATGTTGGTTATTGAACAAAAGTTTACTGTTAACGTTGGTTATTGAACAAAAGTTTACTGTTAACGTTGGTTATTGAACAAAAGTTTACTGTTAATGTTGGTTATTAAACAAAAGTTTACTGTTAATGTTGGTTATTGAACAAAAGTTTACTGTTAATGTTGGTTATTAAACAAAAGTTTACTGTTAATGTTGGTTATTGAACAAAAGTTTACTGTTAATGTTGGTTATTGAACAAAAGTTTACTGTTAATGTTGGTTATTAAACAAAAGTTTACTGTTAATGTTGGTTATTGAACAAAAGTTTACTGTTAACGTTGGTTATTGAACAAAAGTTTACTGTTAATGTTGGTTATTGAACAAAAGTTTACTGTTAATGTTGGTTATTGAACAAAAGTTTACTGTTAACGTTGGTTATTGAACAAAAGTTTACTGTTAACGTTGGTTATTGAACAAAAGTTTACTGTTAATGTTGGTTATTAAACAAAAGTTTACTGTTAATGTTGGTTATTGAACAAAAGTTTACTGTTAATGTTGGTTATTAAACAAAAGTTTACTGTTAATGTTGGTTATTGAACAAAAGTTTACTGTTAATGTTGGTTATTGAACAAAAGTTTACTGTTAATGTTGGTTATTAAACAAAAGTTTACTGTTAATGTTGGTTATTGAACAAAAGTTTACTGTTAATGTTGGTTATTGAACAAAAGTTTACTGTTAATGTTGGTTATTGAACAAAAGTTTACTGTTAATGTTGGTTATTGAACAAAAGTTTACTGTTAATGTTGGTTATTGAACAAAAGTTTACTGTTAACGTTGGTTATTGAACAAAAGTTTACTGTTAACGTTGGTTATTGAACAAAAGTTTACTGTTAACGTTGGTTATTGAACAAAAGTTTACTGTTAACGTTGGTTATTGAACAAAAGTTTACTGTTAACGTTGGTTATTGAACAAAAGTTTACATTGGTCACTGAATAACGTTTACTGTCCTGCTTATAGCGGCCATTTTGTTTTACTTCCTGACGTCAGTGCATGAATGTCAGAACCCGAGATGTTTAAAAAATAGGTTTAAAGAATAATTCCGTCCTGTTCGTTTTAATTTGCCCCAATCAAGAGTTCGGTAACATTTGGCTCTTTAAAAAAAAATCGGCTTTTGCGTTTGGAGCTAATTCGTGTTAAGAAGGGTAAGACGTGCATCTAAATTTTTTATTGAATGTTATTGTTTTATATTTTAGTTTTTAACACGTCAAGAAGTAATTTAAAAAAGATCTCTGTAATACTCCTACTCATCTATCATTCCAAAATTTTCCATGACACAAAATTGACCCCTGGCGATGAGGGTGCGCTGTCCTTGATTTATCCGCCATTCCGGTTGGTGGGGGGGGGAGAGGGGGGGCGATGGATGAGAGTTGTGTATCTCTTTCTACCATTCAGATGGCGCATTTTAAAACCTGAGAAACCTCAGGACTGTTCTAATGTTAATTTACTCGAGGGCTGATCAACTTGAGACTGTCTTAATTAATATTAATACTTTATTTTTTTCCTAATCACTTCTTTTTTATAGTTAGGTTAGAGTTCCCAGTCTATGTCTTAGCTTTGCTTGAAATATTTCTTTTAACTCGGTGTCGTCAGTGTATTTTTAAAAATAAAATCTGAATGTATTCCTATTTTTCCATATAGCCGTTGTATAAACAGCCGTTGCTACTAGTCTGTTTTCGTCTTCTGTTCTTTGTCTAGTCGTGTTAATTAAATTAAGTGTGATTACTTTATTTGTTGTGGCTGTTTGATTGGTGGTTTTTAATATTTTTACAAATGTTTGCTTTGCTTTCTGTACTAATATACAATCTAAATAAATGTGTTTCTTAGTTCCTTTTAAATTTTGTTTACAAGTTTGACATGTTATTTTAACATTTTGATTTGACTTTGTATTTCGTGAACTGGAGTTGCATTAAAAATCAGTCTGTATGTTACTTCCCTTTCTTTTGGTGTAATGCGTTTATTATGTAGGTTTCTAAATGTATCTTTAATGTCTATTATATTGTGTTCCCTAGTCCAACTAATTCTCGTGTACAAGGGTGTCGCTTGTTGTTTGATTAGGATATCGTATATTTTTTTTGTGTCTTCCCCAATAATGCTTTTGTTTCATTGGAATGTTGCTAGCGTTTCTTTATAAAAAAGCTGCCTATGTTATTTCCCCCATAGTGTGGTGTTATGATGTTTAATTTTAGAATGCTCTTTATTTTCAACACAATGTAGTATTGTGCTAATGGATGATAATGTGGTTCTATCCTCATTCTTTTCAGATGTTTTAATCGGAAGGTGTTTATTTTAGTATGAATGTCATGTAGCCCTATACCTCCATTTAGTTTGTTCTGTATTAAAATTTTGTGGCTAATGTTTCTAATAGGGTTTTTAAAAATGAATTCTCTAATGTGCTTGGTAGTTTGATTAATAAACGAGTTGGGTATGATAGAGTTTGTCTCTACGAAGATTAATTTTGGACCAATTTTTTTTTAAATAACTTTATTTTCAATAGAAATAATTGCATCAACATAATATACAAATGTGTGTGTGCTTAATATTTAACATAGTTCAAACATTGACAAAAATTATCATTACATGATCAAAATGGTGAACATTGCTAAAAAAGATCAACAATTCAAATGAAAATAATTAGAAATAAGGAAATAAAAGCATGTATTTTTTTCACCATAATAGTAATAGTCTTAAATGTTTTTACAGTTCTTAAATCATCTAAAAAGTCTCACAAATCCTAAGAAATTGTCTACAGCACCGCATGATAATGCGCCTGCTCTGACCTTATTTAAAAGCCTCTATAATCGTGATATTGGTGTGTGTTTCTACATTTTACATTTTCTAAAATCAGTGATTTCGTAATTTTATTCCAAATATTAACTTCCTTTACCTGCAACATAAATACAAACGAGAAAAAAAAACAATATTCCACCCACAAACTAATTTCCCTGGTGATTTAGTACCTCATGATTTATAATTGTAAAAACTTTTCAATTGCCTCCAGTTATCTCCCTGCCCGCCCTCCCACCTTTATCTCCCCTGAATCGGTCACGATTACCACACAGCTGTACCGCCATTCAGGCTGGATATTTTCCCCTCCATTACAGCCCCGACCTTGACATTGTTTGGACGCAAGAACCGACTCACCACGTGACCTACACGACTTTATTAGCCAGAAGATGAGATCCTGGCTTCGGTATGTCGACCCGGCCCCTTCGTATTTTGTCCCGACCTCCCGGTATTTTTTCCCGACCCCCTGAGCTAATCTAGTCAGCCAGTGTTGGGAGACAGGCTCATAATATTAAACCTCCTCGCTACGTCCTCTAATTCTATTTTTATAAGCAGGGATTCCCAAAACGACGTCATAAATTATTTTTAGCATAAAAACTCAATTATATTTTTGTTGGTTTAATCTGCAACTTATTTTTTTTTTTTTTTTTTGCACCGGGTAATCTTGTTTTTTTTTTATTATCCTGCCCGTGGCTGTTTCATGCTAACTAGCTGGTACCACACTGGCTGTTTCATGCTAACTAGCTGGTACCACAATTTTTTCTAGTCGATTTTGCTGTATGTCCGGGCTATATGTACAACGGACCTCACATAACAACAGACTCGTTCAGCCTCTAAATGAAAACAAGGTCAATTTTTTAAACCCCGAAATAAACCAGTACAAAGTTGTCAAATTGCAATTAAGTATCTCGCCTTCATAAGTTGATGCTAGATCAACTCCGTGACAAATTTGTGACAAGCTGTTGTCAAATGAACCCGGGGAAGAATTGGTGATAGACTTGAAACATCGAATGTGTAACTCTCCTTTATTTGACTTCACCACCGGACTTAATGACAATTTAATGAGAACTCGTATCACTCCCAGCACTCGATTTCTCTCGGCCACAAAACAATTGAGCCCCCTACTTCCTCACCCCCCTCACAAAACAATTGAACCCCCACCCTCCCCCAAATATCTCGACACCCAAATGAAACCCAACAAGTCATCTAAATAAATTCAAAGCACGCACCCAGCCAAATGTTTCGTTTAGCTTTTAGCAACTATTTTTTTTTATCAAACAGAACAAACTTGATAGTGCTGCTAGATATTGGGACTAAAATTGTGTTACTTTACACCAGACTTTATTCCAGACTTTACACCAGACTTTATTCCAGACTTTACACCAGACTTTATTCCAGACTTTACACCAGACTTTATTCCAGACTTTATTCCAGACTTTACACCAGACTTTATTCCAGACTTTACACAAGACGTTACACCATACTTAAACCCAGACTTTAAACCAGACTTTACCCCAGACTTTACACCAGACTTTAAACCAGACTTTACACCAGACTTTAAACCAGACTTTACACCAGACTTTACACCAGACTTTACACCAGACTTTACCCCAGACTTAACACCAGACTTTATTCCAGACTTTACACCAGACTCTATTCCAGACTTAACACCAGACTTTACACCAGACTTTACACCAGACTTTACCCCAGACTTTACCCCAGACTTTATTCCAGACTTTACCCCAGACTTTACACCAGACTTTATTCCAGACTTTACACCAGACTTTACACCAGACTCTATTCCAGACTTTACACCAGAATTTACACCAGACTTTACCCCAGACTTTACACCAGACTTTACCCCAGACTTTACCCCAGACTTTACACCAGACTTTATTCCAGACTTTACCCCAGACTTTACACCAGAATTTACACCAGACTTTACCCCAGACTTTACACCAGACGTTACACCAGACTTTACACCAAACTTTACACCACACTTTACATCAGATTTTACACCAGACTTTAGACCAGACTTTACACCAGACTTTACACCAAACTTTACACCACACTTTACATCAGATTTTACACCAGACTTTACACCAGACTTTACACCAGACTTTACACCAGACTTCACACCAGACTTTACACCAGACTTTACACCAGACTTAAACCCAGACTTAAACCCAGACTTAAACCCAGACTTTACATCAGACTTTACACCAGACTTTACACCAGACTTTACACCAGACTTTATACCAGACTTTACACCAAACTTTACACCAGACTTTACACCAAACTTTACACCAGACTTTTCACTGTACCCTAATCTTAGTGTTACTTTTAGAAGGTAATCGTGGAGAAATTTCCTTTATCATGAATGAAAATACAAGTTGCAAGTCAACAGCTAGTTCCCTGATAGTTTTAATCAACTGATTTCATAGCCAATTCATCAATCGACAAGGATGTTTTCCGATTTTTTGGATTAAATTTATTAATTGAAACCCTTTTTAGTAGTTTTAATTAAGTCAATTTTTAATGTTAATATATAGTGACGTTGTTGTACTGCATTGTCGGCATAGAAATTATTTTTTTTTAAAGGGCAAGGGTAAACTGGACCGGTGCTAATACTAACACCGTTTTAACATCCACACTGTGAATCATCAATTTTTTAACATACACACAGTGAAACATCAACTTTTTTACATCCACATTGTGAAACATCAACTTTTTAACATCCACACCGTGAAACAAAAAAATTTTAACATCCACATTGTGAAACATCAACTTTTTAACATCCAAATTGCGAAACATCAACTTTTTAACATCCGCATTGTGAAACATCAACTTTTTAACATCCACACACTATAAAACCTAAACTTGTTAACACCTTTACGCTGCTAATTAAATTATTTTACGCCGTTAATTCATGATCAGAAGATTAAGCTAATACACATGATCAGAAACCACGAAAAAACCAAGACATTTTCAGACTCAAATTGTGATCATTATATTTCCATATAAGCCACATTATCGGGAGCTTATAATCCATAGCCGAGTTTCGTCTGGCGGTAATTATCCCCCCTGGAGAACACAAATGATACCGAACATCAGATCCCAGCGATCACAAGTCCCACCCAGGGGCAGATCACAACCAAAACATCAATACAGGCTTCGCTCCCCTTGTCTTTACCCGTTAGTTTCCTGTGATTTTATCTCCGCGCGTACCACACACCATTTCCTCGCGTCTGATCATTACTGTTCCACTAGCACACTAACAAAGGCAATAGGTATCATTAAGTCAATTACGTCGAAGAAAAAGACGAAGAAGAAGAAGACAAGCATACAATTAGGACCCAGGGGACGACCCACGGGACGACGTGTGGTTGAGCTAGGTACTGTAGAACAGAGACTATCAGTTGTTGTTTGTTCTACCTTCATTACTAGTGCTAATCAATGTGTCAAGAGTTCTAAGCAGATTTTTAAGTACTCTCTGAAACTTTCTAGTCAAAGTTTCCTTATAATTGTGAAACCAACAGCACACTCGCAGTTGACATGTATTGACATTCCTCAATCATTGTTGGCTAAAGTTCAGTAAAATATTTCCTCAATCATTGTTGGCTGAAGTTCAGTAAAATATTTCTTCAATCATTGTTGGCTAAAGTTCAGTAAAATATTTCCTCAATCATTGTTGGCTGAAGTTCAGTAAAATATTTCTTCAATCATTGTTGGCTAAAGTTCAGTAAAATATTTCCTCAATCATTGTTGGCTAAAGTTCAGTAAAATATTTCTTCAATCATTGTTGGCTAAAGTTCAGTAAAATATTTCCTCAATCATTGTTGGCTAAAGTTCAGTAAAATATTTCCTCAATCATTGTTGGCTAAAGTTCAGTAAAATATTTCCTCAATCATTGTTGGCTAAAGTTCAGTAAAATATTTCTTCAATCATTGTTGGCTAAAGTTCAGTAAAATATTTCTTCAAACATTGTTGGCTAAGTTCGCTAAAATTCAAATAATTCCCTAAAAATAGTTCTTGCCCTGCGGTTTAGCAAAGTGTCTCTCGGATCCTCATTTTAGAAAACCAGATTTAAAATGGCCAACTGTCACACATTGTCACATCACAAATTGTCACACAATAAAATAATAATTGTCACATAAAGTGGTCATCCACTGAACACGCTGACAAATAACAAATTGTAAAATACATTTTCATGTTACGAATTGTAAGGTAACAAACAGCTACAATAAAAAAAAAGTGTCAATGTACAAATTGTCACATAACATTGTCACATGGCTTAATGCCTCATTACTAACTGCCATACAGTAAATCGCCTTATAAATAATAGTCATATAACAAATAGTCAATGAACAAATTGTCACAAAAATTTTTATCACACGCATTTTTATATGCCGCAACAGATTTTCACATAACAAAAACATCACATGACAAATTATCACATGACAAATTATCACATGACAAATTATCACAAGACAAATTATCACAAGACAAATTATCACATGACAAATTATCACATGACAAATTATCACAAGACAAATTATCACAAGACACATAATTATCACAAAACAAATTATCACATGACAAATTATCACATGACAAATTATCACATAGCAATTATCACATTGCAAGACATCACATGCCAAATTGTCAAATAATTTGTCACGCTGCAAGCATTGACTGACACACTAACAAGCAGACACATAATTACACGTTTGTAGGCCGATATTTTAATTACACTCATCAATTACAGCCGACATACAAGCGCCTTGCCGGATGATCGAATATAAAGTTGTTTAAAAATATTTTAATTGATTTTGTTCCTGTTTAAAAAAAAAATAATTTAAATATTTTTTATGACCTCAGCCATGGCGCTGGGAAAACAATTAAAAATAAAAAAAATCAATGTTCACCTCAAGATAAACACAGAGTGTGACAGTGACAGTTGGCCGGTGTTTAACACATTTGACAGTTGGCCGATGTTTAACACATTTGACAGTTGGCCGATGTTTAACACATTTGACAGTAGGCCGATGTTTAACACATTTGACAGTAGGCCGATGTTTAACACATTTGACAGTAGGCCGATGTTTAACACATTTGACAGTAGGCCGATGTTTAACACATTTGACAGTAGGCCGATGTTTAACACATTTGACATTTGGCCGATGTTTAACACATTTGACACTGGGCCGATGTTTAACACATTTAACAGTAGGCCGATGTTTAACACATTTGACATTTGGCCGATGTTAAAACATTTGACAGTAGGCCGATGTTTAACACATTTGACAGTAGGCCGATGTTTAACACATTTGACACTGGGCCGATGTTAAAACATTTGACATTTGGCCATGTTTAAAACATTTGAAAGCTGGCCGATGATTAGGCCATGTCACAATAAGTCGATGTAAACACATTTGACATTTGGCCGATGTTAAAACATTTGACACTAGGCCATGTCACAATAAGTCGATGTTTAACACATTTGACATTTGGCCGATGTTAAAACATTTGACACTAGGCCATGTCACAATAAGTCGATGTTTAACACATTTGACATGGGGCCGATACTGACAACGTCTACACACATCGTAAAGGACGACGATAAGAATATCAACGACTAGAACGTCTGAGATTGTAAACAAACAAGTAAATTTAAAACGAGTGTAAAGAATATCTGTATGGAAGTCTGGATATCAGCCGCAACACTTAAAGTAAACAGAACATTACCAAAGGTAAACAAACAAATAAAAAAGTAAACAACTACTCAGCAGTAAACTAATAAAAAACATACCTTTATAAAAAACATACCTTTATAAAAAACATACCTTTGACACCAAAAGTTAACATTACATTTAAGATCTCCAACGCAGTTTAAGATTAAGACTACTTTTATAATTTGGGTAATCTATCGTTTTAGGTACGTAAAATCGCCCGCGACTAGTTATGTGAAAAACAGGTGACTCCTTACATTTTAATAATTATTTCACATTTTGAGGAGGATTTATGTTTTGAAAAATACAAAAATGTTTCCTTGTTTCATTTATGTACCTGTTTCTAAACAATTGAATTAAAACTTTTCAGTAATAAATGAACACCAGCGATGTTTCCAACAGATGCAACCATGCTCATTTACTATAGCAGCCATCTTGTTAAAGTTTTATTTTTATAGACTTATAGCGCGAGATTCAGGCGGAAGTCACTCTATTTTACAAATGGCTGCTGTTTATAATATATAGCAAATCTTGCTTGCAGATACTGCTGTTTAAAGTTAATTTCGGGCCTATATTGATATATTTAGCCATTGATTTAGGTTTATTATTCATTTATCTATAATATTTGACACAAACATATCACAATATACTTCTATTACAGCCTTGACAATGATGAGGTAACGTTTTCGTACATTAATAGCCGCGGGCGATTTTACGTACCCAAAACGATAGATTACCATAATTTGACATGAGTTAGGATTAACAAAACATTTAAAATGCGTTCATCAGCTACCGGTAACAACACGCTTTAAATATGTTCATCAGCTACCGGTAACAACACACTTTAAATGTGTTCATCAGCTACCGCTAACAACACACTTTAAATGTGTTCATCTCTTATGATTAACAACACTTTAAATTGGAGAAGACGTTAAGTACTACACGTGTGGCTAATGATTACCGATAGACAAAATGTAATAATGAAAAAAAAATGTTTTAATTATCAACAAATATCTTTATGATGTCATCAACTTTAATGTGAATCTAAAAAAAAAAGTTTTTAAATCTAAAATAATGTGTGTGGATTATTCAGTTGGTGGCAGATCTCAAATGTATCTAGGTCTAAAATAGTTTTTTTGACTAAGTCTAAAATATATGTGGGACTAAGTCTTAAAAAATTTGGACGCGAATGTCTACTCTTTTCGTAATGATAAACTTTCTTGAAAACTTTTTCAGAAAGTAAGGTTGTAAGGAAATTCAATTTTCTAATGTAACTGCCAAGTTTCGAAATGTCAACATACCCATGTCTGAAAAAAAATGTCGGCCGATTTCTTCCAATAGGACTTCCGGTTCAGGCAAGAGCTTTCTGAAATTTTAATTACGTCACGTTAATTACGTCATGTTTTCTGGCATATTAACGAATTAATTATTTTTCTGGGCATGTAACGATTTTTTTTTCTCCGTCGAGTTAATGGGAGCTGGGGACTGCGTGGTGGGTTGGTTGTGGGAGGGGGAGGGGAGGGGGAGGGGAGGGGGAGATTTATACATCATCTGTACGGCGATGGTGTGTGTGGGTGTGTTGTGTGTGTGGGGGTGGTGTGTGTGTGTGGGCGTGATGTGTG